TTTTTGAAACCCACCACTGTTGTAACTCAAGGACTACAACACTGCTACCACTGCAGCATTTTCAGGTTTTTCCCTGAACGAGTGGGTCAATGATTTAAAAAGAGCTATTTTTCCAGAAGACTGCAAAGAAACTTGACTTATTTGCTTGCAGTCAGCCAACTCTCAAAGTCCAAATTTTGCAGGTAACCAAGAATTGTCACGTCAATCACTAGAGTGATTTTTTTTTTTTTTTGTAAAGCTGGCACTAAATTTAGCCTAGAGTTAAAAGTCCCCAAAGACCATCCATCTCTGAAAAATCTATCCCCAAGATTTGGCTCATTGGTTTTTCTGCAACAAAGAAAGAATGTTTGAGCCTGCTATAAGAGCTTAAAGGCAGCCTACCTGTTTGGAGTGGCAGATCATATATATATATATGATCTGCCACTCCAAACAGGTATATATAGATATAGATATAGATATAGATATAGACAGACAGACAGACAGACAGAGAGAGAGAGAGAGAGAGAGAGAGAGAGAGAGAGAGATCTGTTTAGCCATCGGATGAGCTCCAAGACCCTATCCTCACCTTATCTCATCCCCTTTATCTGTGTGAGGCCTTCCAATCTGCTCCGGGCACCAGGTGCCAGACAGGATCTGTGGAAATTCCAGAAGGAAAAGTCAGAAGCATCCAAAGGAAATTGCTTCCTTCAAATCCCCCCACTCCTCCCCACCACCTCAATTCGCCTGCCTGCACGTTGTCCATGGTCGCATTCCACAATGCCTCCTTCAACAGCCTATTTTGAAGTGCAAATCCTGAACCTGAATTGATTTATTTTTCCCTCTCTCAGCGATGGGAACATACACAAACACACACACACACAAGAATAGGGGAGCCTCAAATATTTGCTAAAACATCATTTAATCCCACGAAGAAGTGGTGTAGGTCTCCTGGTGTAGGGTCAACCCTTGAGAGGAGGGTTGGACTAGATGACCTAGAAGGTCCCTTCCAACTCTGTTAATTTGTAAGTAAAGTAAAACCCTGTCGACTCTCCAAGTGGGGGAAAAGTCTAATGATCTCTCCACCTGTTTGGAAAGGTATCGCTTGGATGGGGGACACTCAATCACTGGAGAAGGGTTTTTTTTTAAAAAAGAAAGAAAGAAAGCTGGCACTAAATTTAGCCCGGAGTTAAAAGTCCCCAAACTGGGTGAAAAGTTAGCTGTGAATGGTTCATTTGGTGGGGGGCTTGGTGTCTCCCAGGAAGATGAGATTGTGGGTGGGAAGCGCTGACTCCTGTCACGCTTTAGGATTTTATTTTCACTCTCTTCATCCATCAGTCTCTCCCCCCACTGCTTCTGTGTACACACACACACACACACACACACACACACACACACACACACACACACACACAGAAGCACATCAATCCCTGTTAGTCTCGTTCTGAGCGCTGGAAAATCCGGAGTGGATTTCTTCCTGAAGAGAAGTTCTCCCTTCCATGCTGGGTTGGGTTGCCTGGCCTCTGGGTGACCCCCAAGACATCTCAGCTAAGAAAATTAGCCAGACTTGCACACACACAGCCCGCAAAAAAAAAATCATATTTACCTCAACGGAGAACATCTCAACATTGTTGTGGAGATGAACCATAGGGGTGAAGAAGGATAAATAACACGCTCGAAAAGGTTTCCAGCTTGGAATTAAAAACATGGGGAATTTTGCTGCCCTGCTTTGGAAGAATCTACATGCTGCTTCCACTAAAATATCCAAAGTGCTCCAACTTTAATTCACATATATAATATTCTGTACCTGCGTTCTTTATCCTCTTGTTCTTTTTGCTCATGAGTTGGAAAACCAACGTAACAGCTGAGAAGGAATGAATGTCAGTGAAGCACATACTGAATTTTATTTGTTTTGTTGCTGTTGTTCCTTGAGTTTTCTCCACTGTTTTAGGCTTCTAGGATAGAGAAATCAATAATCAATGCTTTTAAAAACGCTCTCCAATAAGCCTGAAATATTTTCTCCTGAATTCGTCTTATTTTAGAACCACAGGAAGCATCCTTAATATTCTTAAAGACCTTTAGCTGCTGTTCCAATATTTGAGGGAGAGGAGGAAGGGGTCAATATTTGCCACAGAGAGGAGGAAGGGGTCAAGCTATTTTCTAAAGCACCCAAAGGCCAGACAAGGAATAATGGATGGAAATTGAACAAGGAGAGATTTCACTTAGAAATAAAGAGGAATTTCCTGACAGCGCGAACACTCAACCCATGGAACAGAAGTTGCCTTTGGAAGTTGTGGGAGCTTCATCCCTGGAAGCTTTCAAGAACAGACTGGACTGTCATTGGTCAGAAATGGTGTAGGATCTCCTGCTTGGATGGGGGGTTGGACTAGATGACCTACAAGTCCCTTCCAACTCTGTTAATCTGTTAACTGAAGTTCACCATTGCACGATGATGACCAAACGAAACATCCTTTGATTTCATAGTGTGGTCAAGATATATCAGCAAGAAATCCAGGGTTGTTATAAATACTGAAATACATTTTAGATAAATCCTCCCCCCCCCCCCCATTTTTTTAACAGACCGCTGAAAAATATTTCGGGGTATAGCTCCATGATCCTCAAGAATTTTGGAATAAAGAACAGCAGCAGCTAAGGCTCTTTAAGAATATTAAGGATGTCTCCTGTGGTTCTAAAACAAGATTGTGAAATCGAAAGGTTTTGAGTTTTGCCATCTTGCCAGGGTGAAGTTCAGTAGATGTCTGTCTCTCTTCCACCCAGAAGGCCTTAACTGGGACCTGTTGGCACCCAAGGCTGAAGATCAAGTTGGCCACCTGGTTAGGTTCTCAGCCACATCTTTGATTTTTGGCTCCAGGGAGACAACATACCATTCTGGGTTGACTTTCCGGTCTACAGAAGGCTGGTTCTGTTCACTTGAGAATTGAATCTCCTATCACCAAAACTTGCCCCTTTTTTTTTCTTCCTCCCTAGAGACATTTGGGGTATTTTTGTATCACAGAAGGATTTGATGGTGCTACTTTTTAAGGCACATTTGATGATGCTGTCTGCGTGTTTTCTTCCAGGTAGAGTCCATGCAATCGATTGCTTCACATCAGAGTGGGTTGCAGTTGCGCTAGGTTTGCGTTTGTTTTCTTCGAGGGGTGGCAGGTTTCCATCTATCTTCTTCTCCCTCTAAGGCAGGGGGTCCCCAAACTTGGCAACGTTAAGACTTGGGGACTTCAACTCCTAGAATTCATCAGCCAGCACAACTGGGAGTTGAAGTCCACAAGTCTTAAAGTTGCCAAGTTTGGAGACCTCTGCTCTAAGGGGTCAATTATTTTAAAAGCTTAGAAGAATAATTGGAACTGCAGGAAAAAAAAACATGGCTAGCAACCTGCCTTCCATGGAGGACCTGTATCCTGCACCCTGAGTCAAAAAGAGGCCTGTGAAAACATCTACAGACCCCTCACATCCTGGACATAAACTGTTTCAACTCCTTCCCTCAAAACAACGCTATAGACACTGCACACCAGAACAACTAGACACAAGGGGAGTTTTTTCCCCAACGCCATCCCTCTGCTAAACAAATAATTCCCTCCACACTGTCCAACTATTTACAAAGTCTGCACTACTATTACTGTTAATCTTCTCATCACTCCTTATCACCCATCCCCTCCCACTTGTGTCTGTATGACTGTAACTTTGTCACTTGTATCCTTACAATTTATATTGACTGTTTCCTAGTATGATTGGATTGCTTATTGTACCCTATGACTATTATTAAGTGTTGCACCTGATGATTCTTGGCTCTTGACGAATGTATCTTTTCTTTCATGCACACTGAGAGCATTTACACCAAAGACAAATTCCTTGTGTGTCCAACCACACTTGGCCAATAAATAATTCTATTCTATTCTATTCTATTCTATTCTATTCTATTCTATTCTGTTCTGTTCTGTTCTGTTCTGCTCTGCTCTGCTCTGCTCTGCTCTACTCTACTCTACAGTATTCTTTCCTATTCTATTCTTATTGTACCCTATGACTATTATTAAGTGTTGTACCTGATGATTCTTGATCCTTGATGAATGTATCTTTTCTTTTTATGCACACTGAGCATTTGCACTAAGACAAATACCTTGTGTGTCCAATCGCATTTGGCCAATAAAGAATTCAATTCTATTTGAAGTTTGTTGGATCATCATTATGTTCAATTTGGGCATATTCTTCTTGCAACGTTTGGGGGTTTCTCATTTTGTAGGTTGAGTTTCAGAATGGTTAGAGTTTCCTTTAGACCCTTAACTTTTTCTTCTAGCAACTTGCATTCGTTTACATAACTGGTACCTACATCTCCTTTGCTCAGAGTTGTAATGTTGAAGATCTCCCCGCTTTCCCCTCCGCTTCTCAGACCACTGAGAAGAGCGCAATCCTTGTTGTGTTTTGTAATTTGAGACGACGAGTCTACAAGTGCCATGTTTGCCAAGCCACGCTGGGCACAAGATTCCCTCCTGCTGCCTCCAGTCCATGTGATCCAGGCCAAGTTTTTCTTTCCGTAACGGGCCCCCGAGTGGACGGTGAGTTTGTCCAGCCTGTTAGAACAAGGCATGTTTTCCAGCATCCCTGACCACACGAGGACCGAGGACCGGACTGGACTGGGGATGCGAGAACAAGTGGACAAGGGAGGTTAGGATCACGCCTTGAGGGGGTTTTTTCAGTTGGAGACAGGACCTGGGGATCTTCTCAGCCTGCCATGGATTTTGGGGTGGCCCTGTTGATGCTTCGTGCTCTCTGGCTTTCAGGTGAGTGGCAAACCTCAAACCTGCTCGGGTTTCCTAGCTAGCAAAATCTGAGCCTGCTTTTTGTGCGACGGTTGAGGGCATCGTGAACGACTGGAGATATACCTCTGAAACTTAAGCCTAGCAAGTTGTCCTAAACTCTTGGGTGTCTGCAGGTTACACACACACACACGCATGCACACACGCATGCACACAGAGACTCATTTCAAAGCTCTTTAGATCTGGAGCAAGGAGGGGGCACAGTTTTTGCAGAGACTGTGGAAATGAAGAGCTGGTGGTGGTGATGGAGGGTCTCGTGGGAGGGGGGAAGCAACTGCAGGTGTTTCCCAAGGACCTGGCTTTTTCTGCTCCAGGTGCCTCTGCAGTTCATGATCTCCGAGGAAATCATTTGGAAGGGGAAGAACAAGTTGGAAAGGAGAGAAATAACCTAGGCAAGCCCTGGAAAAACAATCGGCGCTGACCAGATCACCCTGGGTCAGCTGCAGAAGGCTGCCTTACTGGGATCTGCTTGCATACTCCGCCGATACACCACGCAGTCCTAAACACTTGGGAAGGGTTCGACCAGTGATTTGGGATACGGAATCCAGCATGGTTCTCTCGTTTGCTGTGTGCACTGTTGGTTTTTGTGTCAAATAATAACACTAACAATACTACTACTACTACTACTACTACTACTACTACAAGTACTAGTAACATTCTCCTCCTCCTCTCCCCTTCTCCTCCTCCTCCTCTTCCTCCTCCTCCCCCCTCTGGGAAATCCTCTCCTCTTCCAAGGATATAATTTGGAAGGGAAAGAACAAGTTGGAAAGGAGAAATTTCTTTTTCTTTCTTTCTTTCTTTCTTTCTTTCTTTCTTTCTTTCTTTCTTTCTTTCTTTCTTTCTTTCTTTCTTTCTTTCTTTCTTTCTTTCTTTCTTTCTTTCTTTCTTTCTCTTCTTCTTCTCCTCCTCCTCCTTCTTCCCTCTGGGAAATCCCCTCCTCTTCCAAGGATATAATTTGGAAGGGGAAGAACAAGTTGGAAAGGAGAAATTTTCTTTCTTTCTTTCTTTCTTTCTTTCTTTCTTTCTTTCTTTCTTTCTTTCTTTCTTTCTTTCTTTCTTTCTTTCTTTCCTCCTCCTCCTCCTCCTCCTCCTCCTCCTCCTCCTCCTCCTCCTCCCTTTGAAAAAACCGCTCCACTTGTCCAGAACCTTTGTCTGACATTCCACCGGTCAGAGGGACTCAGCAGGGCCACTTCTGTGCCTAGTATCCATGGCTACTGATCCTGCCTGGGAAGCAGGGACGGGAGTCTTTTGTGCCAAAGGCTCTCAGGCAGGGCGGGCTTGCTGGTGAATAGACCTGGCACCGTTGGGGGGGGTGGGGTGAGGGGTGGGGGGGAAGGCAAACATTCTTTGGCACCACGGTGAGGGCAAAGTTCTCTCGCTGGCGAGTAGGCAAGGGGGCCATTCCAAGCAGGTTGCCAGACCTCTCGCGAAACGGGCCTCTTTGACCCACCGAAAAGTTTGCTCTTGATCTGGACAACTCCGCCGATAACGGTCTCATCATCGTAACTGCTATTTATTTCCAACTTTGCAGAGCAGAGAAAGCGAAGTGGGTTGGCGGGCTGAGAGAGCTGCAGTGAGTCACTTATTAGTCACCGATTCTAAAGATCAACCCCCCCTCTAAGCTCTATATCTTTCTCACAGCCATTCTAAAGGTTGCTGCTTTGGGATCATCCTCCACAGAGGGGAAATATATATATATATATAGCCTGAAAATCAGCTTCGGCCCACGTGTTTTTGGGGAGGGGTGTGGGTGCGCTTAAAAGGGGTCCCTCCTTCAGCTGGACGGAGCTTCTTTTTGGTTCTGGAACTGTAATAATAGCTAGAGATCTTCTCGAACTTGCATCTTCTATTATTTTATTGTCTTTACCGCAATGGTGGGATTCAATTTTTTTTTTTTTACTACCAGTTCTGTGGGGATGGCTTGGTGGGTGTGGTGTGGCTTGGTGGGCATGGCAGGGGAGAGATACTGAAAAATCCCCCTGCCCTCCCCACCCCCCTAACCTGCTTTCCAGCTCCGTTCTCCTGTGCAGGACAACCAAAGGAGACCCAACCAATCATCTGGGACTCGGGAGGCAGAGGAGAGATGGGGTTGGCGGGGCCAGTCAGAGGTGGGATGGGCTGGTTCTCTGAACTACTCTAAATTTCCGCTACTGGTTCTCCAGAACTGGTCTGAACCTGCTGAAGACCCACCTCTGCTTTTTCACCCCTTTATAGCGTGGCACTGACTGGCAGGTGTTCTTTATGTAAACAAATATGTGTAGCTTTCAAAGAATCCTTCGCTTTTCTGGTTCGTCCCACCGATTATTTTATTGATTGTTTAAAACCCGGATTCTGGGACAAAAGGATCTATTCTCTGCACCCGTTTAGCCTCTTCACCTTGTCAAGGTTTAACTCGGGCTTAGGCGCATGTCCTGGAAGGGTTAGGGTCACGTTGGGCAAAACTCAACCTATTTAGAGGACTGATCTATTTCAATAACCAGGTTAAGTCTGTTGGGTGACGTCAGCAGCCCCAAAGTGACATAAGAGGAATGACATGGATTGTTGGGTGTTTTCTGGGGCCACCGTGGACTTACTTTGCAAAGATGGGTTTCAGGATGAGTCATCTGGTCCAGGATGATGATGATAACAATGGAGATATTCAGAAAAACATCCTATTCTTCTTCTGGGTGACGGTGGTTCTTCGTGTGCCTTAGTGTCCGGTCCCCTCATCATCCTGGTTGTTCTTCTCTGTACTTTTTCTAGAGTCTCAACATCTTTTTTGTAATGTGGTGAACAGAACTGGATGCAGTACTCTAGGTGTGGCCTTACTAAGGCTTTATAGAATGGATTAGTACCTCCCTTGATCTTGATTGTATCCCTCTGTGAATACAACTCAGGATTGCATTGGCTTTTTTGGCTGCCGCTGCACATTGTTGGCTCTTATTTAGCTGGTTGTCCACTCAGACTCCAAGATCCCTCTCCCAGTTCCTGCTATTGAGCCTGGTTTCACTCAGTCTATATGTGTCCTTGTGGTTTTTCTTGCCTAAGTGTAAGACTTTACTTTTCTCTACAATGAATTTCATTTTGTTAGAGAGGGCCCAGGGTTCAAGTCCGTCAAGAAGACCAATCGGGAACTTGAGCCTGTTATCTTTGGTGTTGGCTATTCCTGCCAGGAGGAGAACAATTTGGGAAATCCTGTGGCCTTTCTGGCTTTCTTTCTCCCACTCTCCACAGAGAAGGTGGACGATCCTTAACCACTTTCCCCTGCTTTCTCACACAGAGCAGATTTGGTGTATGTCTTTCACAGCACAAGGCCAGTGGTGAAGAGAGAGGAACACAAATCATTGTGGCTGCAAAGAAACACTTTCGCCCCACTGCCTTTCAAAGCAACCCAAACCTATAATTTGTTTCCAGGATATCCCCATTGAAACCTTCTTAAGATCAGTTTCAAAATAGACCATGTTGATGTTTAAATTCAGACGGGGTGGAAAATACACTCAAAGCATACTTTCAGGAGGGTGGTGCAACCAGCCACCATCATCTCAAACCCCCTAGTAGTCCTGTATTACTACAGTATTCTCCTTCTCATCTTTCCTATTCCCTATTCCCAGAGCTTCTTATGACTATAACTTTGTTGTTTGTATCTTATGGTTTATGTTGATTGCTTATTTAGTACCCTATGACTATCACTAAATGATATGATTTATGATGACTGTATTTTGTTATTATGGCCATTATTTATCACTTGTTGCTTGTATGTACACTGAGAGCTTCTGCACCAGAGACAAATTCCTTGTGTATCCAGTCACACTTGGCCAATAAAGAATTCTATTCTATTCTGTTCTATTCAGTTCTGTCCTATTCTAGTTTTATTTCTATTCTATGCTCATTATATTCTATTCTAATCTCTATGCTATTCTTATGTCTATTTTATTCTGTTATATTATCTATTCTATTCTACTCTACTCTACTCTACTCTACTCTATTCTCTGTTCTGTATTCTATTTTATTCCATTCTATTCTAGTTTTATTTCTATTCTAATTTTATTTCTATTCTATTCTCATTCTATTCTATTCTAATCTCTATTCTATTCTAGTTTTATTTCTATT